TACTGTAGTACTGCCTTAGCACTAGAGGTATTACTCCAAGTTGATTCATGTTTCCAGTGAGAAGAGGGAATAGTGTTCATCAGTCGTCTAGAATTGACTCTGGGAAACAACAGCACAGTCAGCTCATCCCCTTCATCCACAGAGGGTGTCGAAATGGAAGAAAAAAGAATGGGAGTGTCTGTTATCAGTCTGAGAGAAACAGTGTGTAGTAAAGAAAATTGAAAGAATGAAGAAATTTAAAGGCAGAGGGAAGAATTAACCCTAATGGATTGAAAGTCGACAAAGAGTTAATTAAAAGGGAAAAAAAAGCTAATGACAAGGCCTACAGAGGAGGAGAGAATGATTAGAACTCGGTGTAAGTTGAATAGCAGTGAGCGTTCAGGTGATTGTCTTGATGGCACTCCACTCCCCTGCCCCCAACATCGCAGGGGAAGAGGTGAAGGTGCGCATACTGTGGACAGGGGGGTTGTGGCCTGGAGATTTTGGAGGCCCACACGAATGACTTTAATGAGAGGTGTTCTTATGGTTCTTGAGAAAGTCCTCATGGGGGACAGTTGGGAGTTAAGTTCAGAGCCATGAACTTCCACTCTGCCCAAGCTCAAACTCAGTGCTTCAGAGAAAATGAGTGAGATGGTGACAGGTTAAGGTCACTGCCCAATTTCAAAGGTAGTTCACAGATTGCTGAGTCCCTTTGAGACTCTTGAGAGGTTCCATTGGAACCCCTAATATAGAGCTTACTTAAATCAGGATCGGAGTAGCTTGTGGTAGATGTTGGCAGGGAGGCGAGTGTATTTTTAACCAGGTTATTAGTCTCTTCTGTGCTCTACTAACTTCCTTGGCAAATTTAAATTTAGAAAGCTAATGGCAATGCTATTCCCCAGACTCCGTGGAACACCTTTGTCATCTTCCACTCCAGTCAGCCACTAATGGGACACTAATATATTTTGACATAAAGGGACACGACTGAATTACTTGGCTTTCATTTCATCTCTGTGTGCTTTTTCTCCCCCATGTTCTAGTCTGTTTTCATGCTACTGATTGCCCTGTAAAATACTAGGTAGGAGGAAACCCAGAAGAACCGTGACACCAGCCAGGCTAGACAGTATTCACCCAGAGGAAGCCCAACAGCTTGTCACAAGTGTCTAGGAGGTTCCTGTATATGCCTTAAACATCTTCCAATACCTGGTATTAGCAGATGCTGTGGCTTATTAGGCAGAACCTTATCTAAGAGCAGAATCTTCAGAATAATAATTATACTGATAATAGCTAATATCTATTGAGCACTTACAATGTGCCAGCCAGTTTTCTAAGCACATCACCTGCATTGGCTCATTCAATTCGTATAATATCCCTATGAGGTGAATACTGTTATTATCTCTTCACCCACGAGGAAACTGAAAGGCAGAGTTTCCTGATTAACCAATAAGGGGAAGAGCTTTCCTTCCAATCCAGGCCATCTGACTTGGAATCTGAGCTGCCCCTTTGTCGAGTTGCTTTCCTTAGCTACTGTTTACACTGAGGCACAGAATAATTCCAAGAGGTTTTCCACCATGGTCTCCAGGATTGAAGGCTTTGAAATTTGCTGATGGGCCTCATCAATGGCAACATTTGATGGCAGGCCAAACGCAGGGTCCTGATCAGAAAACTGAGTTTAAGTAACCGACTGCTGGCAGGAATGGGGGATGTGTTGTTGGCAGAAGATGGGAACTGAGAACAACTCAGTGCTTGTGTAGGAAGGTGGATAGAAAAGCGTGACAAGTGGTTAGAGAGAGTCTCTGTTTTCTTCCATCTTGCTTAGCTGATCATTCCAGAGATGAAATGAGATACTATGTGAATTCATGTGGGATCTGAAAGCTCTGTTCAAATGAAAGTTTCTGTTGTTCATCCACAGTGTGCCTGCCCTTAAGTCAGGAAGATTGGTGGGAGGCTGTGGTTCAGGAGGCAACAGTGTGTGGTGGGAATTGGTGGGCAGAGATGACAGGCTGGGAGATAGAAGGCTGTTGACAGGGAATTTGATAAAGGTGACACACACTTGTTAGCCCTGGGGAGCTCCCTGGAGGAGGGGTACAGTGACTGGATCCATTCTCTGGTTCCTATTTCCTGCTCTGTTGCTACTGCTGTAGCCAGGTCTTAGTCTTAGAAGCTCCAGCCTACAGGAGAAGACAAGAGGTCACTGTTAGTGACCTGCTATTATCTCAAACATTGTATAGGAAGAGATCTTTCTACCTCTATCCTCACCCATCTCCCATTACAGAGCATGGTGGGCCACCACATTCTACGGTTCCAGCTTCCCTCTTATCTGCTACGCTTGCAGGAAAATATTTACTAATTACAGTCCATGCAGGTCACTGGGGTGAACTTGGAAATAAAAGGATTAGACCCTTCTGTATTTCAGGATAAGCATTTGGTATGAACATTGTGTGGTCACTCTGTTAATCTCTGAAAATCTTTCCTATCTACTCCCATCTAATACCTAACACTCTGCTATAATTCCTATTTTTACTCTTGTCCTGAGTTATCATCATTCATTTATATATTGACATACTTTTAAAATAATTATATTATTTTTCTAAAAATGATGACACTTAATGTAAAATAATTGCCAAATCCCATCACGTGGAGATGACCACTTGGGACCAGCTCATTGAACATTTTCTCCAGACATTTCTCTACATATACAAACTCCAAGGTTCCACAGTGTACATGAAGGAGATTCCACCATGTATAATTTCCCATGACTTTTTTCACTTACCAGTGTGTTGTTGTCAGACGTTTCCCTAGATAAATGTAGATCTACACAATCATGTAATATTTGCCCAGCATTCTCTTGTTTGAATGCACCAGTTTACTAAACCACCCCCATTGATTGTCGATTGATAAAGAAAAGACTGTGAGCACATCACTGAGCTCGTCTGATTCCGTGAATCCAGGCTCTAGGCTTTGCTGTCAAATCCATGGGATTCTGGCCATCATATAATATAAGGAACATGAAACCATTGAGTGAAAAGTCCAAGGCTCTGCTCCCAGCTCTGCCACTTAGTAGCTATGTGACCATGAATTCACTTTATCTTTCTGAACCTCAGTTTTCCTATCTGTAACTGATGGTGTGGGCATGCATGATATTTAAAGTGTATTCCACTAATTTACAAAGCTGCTGTCAAACCATACCTCCTTAAATACTTAAGTATTTATGTCAGTTGCCTGTCAATGTCCGGCACAATGCCTAATACAAAGTAGACACCCAGCAAACTCGCTTTGGCTGAATGACCAATGCAAATGTTATATCTGGCTTCTCAACTTCCCCTCAGAAACACCCATCTCATTGTTTAGTATATTAGTAGGCTTAATTTTTAATTCAGTAAACTATAGACATTTTTATCTGTTCACCATCTCTAGAATTCATGCACTTATATATAAATGTGTGTGTATGTGTGTGTGTATGTGCGTGTATGTGTGTATATGTGTGTGTGTGTGTGTGTGGGTGTGTGTGTGTGTGTGTGTGAGGGAGAGAGCTATGTATGGATGTACACATATATCTATACATGGGAGTATGTGTTTTACTTTGGGCATGAGTAGAGTGGGAGTCTATATGGAGAGAGTTAACTATACTTTGCCCTAAAATGTGGTTTTAGACAAGAGAATTAGATTAAGTTATTTTTCCTCTACCTCTAACAGAGTTGTAATGAAATTAAATACACTCACACACGTGTGTGTGTGTGTGTGTGTGTGTTTGAGGTGGGAGTAGCAGTATTCTGACAATTTTTTAAAAGTATCATTTCTTCCTTCCATCCATCCTTTCCTTTTTTCTTTCTTTCCTCTCCTCTCCTACTTCCTTCTCTCCTTCCTTCCCTTTATCTTTCCTTCCTCCCTTCCCCCTTTTTTCACCTTCCCTTCACTTCCCTTCCCTTTTCCTTCCTCCCTTCCTCCCTCCCTCCCTTCCTTACTTCCTTCCTTCATTACTTCCTTCTTTCCTTCCTTCCTTTGTCAAAATGAATGAAGGAGTAGTGCTCTTCTTTTTACTTTAGTCAATGGTGACTTTTATCCCATAATATAAGAAAGAAGAAGTAATCCTTTATTTGAGAAAATTTTCTGAACCAATGAAATTTAAGTATAATATTCAGGGACGCGTGGGAATTGTGTTTTATTAATATATTAAAGAAATAGATCGATTCATAATGGTGATGATGAAAACTAAATTGATTCACTCAACTAATACCCCTAATTAAACTATTTTGAAAATATTACTTAAGAACATTCAAGGAATCCAGGTGAAGTCTGTGAAGATGAACAGGCTGCTTCGGAGAGTTCGGTACTACCCCCTTTATTGTTTAATATCATGAACTAGAATGGATTGAATTCTTTGAAAATGAAATGCATACTTCATTCCCTTCCTAAGGAAGGTACTTGGTGCACATTTTTAATTTTGAGTTTTATTTTGCGATGCTCAGAGGCTCCCTCACAGGCAGTGTTCACTGTGATATGTTTTGACCAAGAGTTGCTCTCAGAGACTATTGAGGTGTCTAGAGCTATTTCAATCTCGCTCCTGTGCTTTTGGGGATCATTAGCTCGCGTTTTATAGTTTTCCTGTTTCTTATAAGGGTCAAGCTGGCACGTTTGGCTGTTACAGCATATTTGCCTAGAACATTTCTTTATCACTCTACCCACTATTCACTGTTTCAGATTCACTGCATGTAATTTATTGTGGAACTAAACACGTGATCTTAGAATTTTTACCAAGTTAATAGCAAATATGATATGAGTGGTCTCCAGAAGCTTTTCCGGCTTATTTCCATGTTTTTAACCTAAATTTCAGAAACTTGCGGTTCTGGGGAAGTGTTCTCCAGGTCATTGCTATAGTCTGTAAGAGCCCACAATTCTGTTTGACTGTGAACTTTCTCTTCTAAGCACGAAGACAGGATCGCATGTAGTCCCCCTGGGTGCATACGACTCCCCGTTCCACTCTCTCATTTTGGTCTGACTATGCGGTTCTTGTTTTGCAGTCCCCAGTCTATCCCAGACCGCCTGAGGATCCGCGTGAACAAAATCAGTTTGCAAGACTATGAAGGGTTCCACTATGACAAAGAGAAACTCCGGGAAGCTTGTAAGTTGGAAGTGCTTCATTGATTTCCTGTGATCTGCCTATCTTCATCTTCTTGATCTTCTTTGGTTCGATGGATAGATTCATCTCGGATCTGAAAACCATGGTTAGAGAAATGAAGGGAAGGGAAGTAACACGGGAACTCCAAGTGATGATAGGTGGGCTGAAGAAAATGCAACAGGAACATGGAATAAAATTTTCCTGCTCAAGATGCCAAGTTAGGACCAGTTGGTTTATTAACCACTTGAAGTCTTGGTTTTATCTAAAATGAGAAAGCAGAAAGGTGGTGACACCACATGGTAGAGTAACATCTAGCATAGGTGTCTTCCTGGAAGCTGGCATCATTGAGGACTGTCCTCGTTCTTCATGACAGTTATCGGTGAGGACACGTCCAGCACTTCTAGCTGTTATGTGATTGTATGATGTTAAAACAAGGCCCAAGTCACATTCAATGTCATGATAAAGTGATTCCTTGAGGATGTGTCACAGTTTCCAGAATCATAAATTGAGTCAATATATGAATTATTTCTCTATGTTCACATTTTCTAAATATTTCTTGAAATAGAGAACTAATTTGTATTCACTACATCTGTCCCTCAGTACTTATTGGGCACTTTTTTACATTCTAGTCACTATTATGCCCCCCCATAATTATGGGGGTCAGTAGTCAATTGCAATTAAAGTCAGAGAAGATCAGGTCCAGTGTCCAAGGATACAGCAGGGATGCTAATAGAGAAAAAGGCATTTTGTACAAAACCAGAGGTTTATGAACTAAAACTCCAAACTGGCTCCAAGCATGAACCTGCCTGGAGTTGTAGAAGACGCAAATAGTTAAAACTGGCAGGGGTGGAGTAGGGCTGCATCCCTGAGAGAATGCCTTCCAAGCTCTTGTTCCTGAACCTGTGATTTGGAGTGGGATTTGGTGGATGGAAATCCTGGAATTCAGGGACACTCTCAAGAGTGGGTGCAGGGACTTTTGCATCTGGAGGTGGCGATGAGTAAGGACCCATTTCCATGGCAGCCCAATCACCTACTAGGGAATTCTGTGTGAAATTACTGCCTTCTCAGTTCTCTCTGCTGCTTCAGCTTCCTCCGTCCTCTGGCTCTTTTCTATGTCAATACCGGTTAGTTTCTCCCATTCTGTCCTTCACCCGCATTTCCTTTGGTAGGAAAGTTGGAGGTGGAGGAGGGCAAATTCCCCGAATTACTCCCTTCTGTCAATGAGAGATTACATTTTCTAATGTAAATGAGATTACAAGTGACAGATCAGCACAAAATCTAATTTAACCCATAATGTGGTGGATATATATGTTTGAAATGGGAGGTTTAGTTACAATGTAAATGAAACTGACTTTCAGAGATAACTAATTGTAAAGAATAGTGTTTTTATTCTTTCTCAATTCAAGCAAATAGATTACAATTCTTGAAAAATAAAAAGAGAGAATGGATCTCAAGTTTGTACTATTTTGCAGCTTACCATCAACTCTGAAACTAGTCAGTTGGGAGTGGGGAGGGATTTTTGGCTTCTCTGTGCATTTCAATGATCTGTTCTGTCTATTCTATCCATTATCTGTCCATCATTGCCAGAGGTAGTTGTGATCTGAGTTTCACAAGAAGATGATACTTCTTGAAGCAGGTGCTTTGCTCATCATATCTTAATGTGATACAATTTCTGTGTGAGGAAACTTCCTATATCAAATTGTGGGAGGTGACTTGGTATACATATAAATCCAACAAATTCAGCAGTGTCTTTGAGACCAAAAGCACAAAGAAACACTCAAAGAGGGAATCAAGGATTTATCTCATTTTAAAGATTTGGGTTTAAAGATTATAATATACTAGAGGCCCAGTGCACAAAAATTTGTGCACTCAGGGGGGGGGAGGGGGGTCCCTCAGCCTGGCCTGTGCCCTCTCGAAGTCTGGGACACCTCAGGAGATAACGCCCTGCTGGCTTAGGCCTGCTCCTGGGTGGCAGAGGGCAGGCCCAATCCCTAGGTGCAGCCCCTGGTCGGTCTCAGAGCAGGGCTGATTGGGGAGTTGGGGCGCCGCCCCCTGTCATGCACAGAGCAGGGCGGATTGGGAGGTTACGATGCCACCCTCAGTCACGCTCAGGGTGGGGCCGATTGGGGGGTTGGGGCACCGCCCCCTGTCACACTCAAGGCAGGGTCGATGGGGAGGTTGCGGCGCCACCCCCTGTCACACACAGAGCAAGGCCAATCAGGGGGTTGGGGCGCTGCCCCCTGTCACGCACAGAGCAGGGCCCATCAGGGGGGTTGGGGCTCCATACCCTGTCATGCACAGAGCAGGGCCAATCAGGGGGTTGGGGCGCTGCCCCCTGTCACTCACAGAGTAGGGCCGATAGGGGAGTTAGGGCACCGCCCCCTATCACACACAGAGCAGGGCGGATCAGGGGGTTGGGGCGCCACCCTCTATCACCCACAGAGCAGGGCCGATCAGGGGGTTGGGACGCCGCACCCTGTCACACACAGAGCCGCAGGGCGATCAGGGGGTTTGGGCGCTGCCCCCGTCCACGCTGATCCCGGTGCTGGGAGGCATATTACCCTTTTACTATATAGGATAGAGGCCTGGGGGCTGGCTGGTTTGCCCTGAAGGGTGTCCTGGATCAGGGTGGGGGTCCCCACTGGGGTGCCTGGCCAGCCTGGATGAGGGGATGATGGCTGTTTGCAGCTGGTCACACACCCTTCAGGGTGGGGGTCCCCACTGGGGTGCCTGGCCAGTCTGGGTGAGGGGCTGAGGGCTGCTTTCAGGCTGGCTGTTGTTGACTGAAGCTCCCAACCGCTCCTTTTTTTCCTCTTTTTTTAATTTTATTCTGGGCCAGCTTTAGCTCTGGCTTTAGCTCTGACGCTTCCGCTGCTGAAAGCAGGTATCTGGTTTGTTTGCGTTCTATAATCGAAACAATGTATAACTCCAGCTCTGAGATCCCGCTGGCTGAAAGCTGGTTTCTGGGGTTTTGTTTAGCTTCTATAATTGTTAGAATGTTTCAAACTGCCAGATCAGAGGCCAACAAGTCAGGCGGGGAACGTTGGAGTCTGCAGTCACTGGAGCAAGCAAGCCTCATGTTCGCTTCCAGCTGCCTTGCTGCCGGCCGCCATCTTGGCTGACAGTTAATTTGCATAAGGATATGCTGATTAGCCAATGGGAAGGGTAGCGGTCGTACGCTAATTACCATGTTTCTCTTTTAATTAGTGTAGATTAATTAGAAGTAAAGATGGCCAACTCAGGCATTCTGCTTTTAATATATGGTGATGACACTTCTAACCTGTGGTTGTACAGGAAAGTTTGTCCTTTGGGGTTTTTACTTGTTTCTAACCCTGTTTTGCTTGGGTTCAACTTGAAACTAACCACAGGTTCATGGGAAGGCTGGCAGAGGTCAAGTTGAGTATAAAGGCAAACACCAGTTCAAGTCCATCGGTGACATACATGCCAAAATAGATATCTTATTTTACAAGCATTAAGTGAAATTCGTAGAACACACCCAGATAAAAGGAGTCTAGGAATCCACTGACCTGCATCCCAGAAGAAAAAAGGGAATGAATCCCCTTACATCATTTATTTATTGTCCACATTCACAGTCTGAACTAGAGCAGTACTGCATTACTTGGCTTAAAAATTAGTTCCCTTTCTTGATGATACAGCAAGCGATTGATCCAGGCATCACAGGCTGTTTGCCATCACTGTTTAATAGAATCTTGCTCATGTGCCTGCATCATTATTTGTATTACATTACAAATGGAATGTTTGCTGTCTAACAAAGCCCTACTCTCCTCTGTAAGGAAGGACTCCTCGGTGATTATAGGACAGCAGCCCTTTTAGTAGCCTGGCTCGTTTCAGCATATAAAAGGATGACTGAGCTGTTTCAGATACATTTCATTCTCCTTTCATTTGGCCCCAACTTACCTGGGGGCATTCACGCTAAAATAATAGCACGAAAAGGTTAGTCTTTGCCAGTCCCTCCCTCAGCTCTTGCTGGTAAATTTTAGACTTAGGTAAAGCAATTTGAGCCTTATTCACAGGGTTTATGAATTATTAACCCTGAGATAATGGTTATACTGTCCAAGGGTGGCAAATTTATTCAATTTAAAAGGTAGAACATAAAGAGAAAGTGGCCATATTTAAAAAAAAATTTCCTAAAGTAAATTTATAATAGAATGACGGCAGAGACTCACTCTTATAATCTGAATAAAGTATATAAAGAAGTCCACAATAAAGCACATCATTATATAATTGTTGGAGTCCCAGCAGGCCCTAAAGTATCCCACAATAGCATATTGATTATTTTGAATTAATGTTGCTTACTTAAGAAACAGCCGGTGCAAGAACAACACTGACCTCTCTGTGCCCCTAAAAGTAAGACATAAATCTCCCACGTTAAAGGCCCTCTTTTGGACCTGGAGGCAGAGATTTCTCTTATCATTAGATTTAAAGAACCCAGAGCCAAAGAGTCTGTATAAACAAACCTGGTTGCCTCTTTATTAATTTACTATCCAAGCCCAAAGTGTTCAGGTTCCTCACTAATCAATACCCAACCCTTGCTTAGATAACTTTCTGACAGACACTAACTTTTTTGTCCTGTCAATTCTTCACAAATGTATTGTTTGTCTAAAAATCATAAAAAGGCTTCTGATTCAGTGATTTCTCTGCGCTTCATTTTGTGATCATATTATAACTGCTCATGCATACATATTAAATTGTTTTTGTCCTGTTAATTCAGCCTTGTGTCAATTTTATTATTTTATTATTAGATTAGTTGTTAGAAGTAAAAAAGTTTAGGGGGTGTATGGAGATTCTTTCCTTTCCCTGATGTAGTCTAGACAAAGGATAATCGCTTTTGAAAATCTGTTATCTTCCATTGCCATCTATTTGGCCCCCTTTGTTCTTTACAACCCCACCCCTTTTGACTTCGGGTGGGATGTAGTAATTATATATAGATCATGTATCATAGACGTGTACACTTGAAACCTATATGATCCTATTAATTAATG